GCTCCTCCATCGACTTTACACGTAAACCTGAAGCTCCGGTGGCGTCTATCGCGTTCGGTGTGAACGCACCCTTAGAGACGGGGTGAGGAGCTCAGCCATCCCGGGGGGGAGCCAGCTGAGGAGTCCAACATGTCCCACTCAGAGGAGGCCCCGGGGCAGACCCAGGACATGCTGGAGGAGGGGGTGGAGGGGGCGGAGCTGCTTCTCTGCTGAGGCTGCTGCCCCGCGACCCGGCCCAGCAGAACAACATGGATGATCCACTCCTGTATCTGTTTGCCCGAGCACCTGAGAAGGGGTGTGGCCTCTCAGTGGAGCAGCCAGGTGCTCGTTCTCCCCGACTCCACCAGGTGAGCTCTCAGAGTGATGAGCTCTGATACTTGGTGAGCTGGTTTCCATGGTGACCGTGAAGGTCAAACACACAGGTGATGAGGGACCCCCTCTATGTCACCGTGTCACATTCGACAGGTGACTCGATCCATTTGCTGATCTGTGGGGGCGGGGTTAATGCTCAGGAAAGTCTCCTAGGTGGACTCTGACCTGGAGGCTCTTGTGAGGTCACTAATAAGGTCAAAGGTCAACGAACCACATGGAGTAGGAGCACTGTTGTCGAAGTACTCTGTAACAATACACAGCTTGTGTGTGCAGTACCTTGTATTCGTGCAGCAGTCCTCTGACGGCGTCCTCGTCTGTGAGGTCACAGCGCAGAAGGCGGAGCCTGGCTCTCCTGTATCCCGTCCCAGTGACGGTCCATCCGGCGCTGTGAAACTCTCGGCACACCGCTCGCCCCAGGAGGCCTGTCGCCCCGGTAACCAGGACGCGTGGCGCCCCCACCAGCAACTCCTCCTGAGTACATAAGAGTACACACATCAGTACTACAGTTAGTACTATAGAAAGACAGTATTGTACTTAGTACTACACACAGTACTACACTGCTACAAGTTGTACCAGAGTCAGTACTACAGTCAGTACTACAGTCAGTACTACAGACTAGGGCGGGGTGATGTATCGAATATACTCGATGTGTCGCGGGTTTTCCATGTACGATGGTTAACATGGCTTTATCGTAACCATAGAGTATGGGTTACCATAGCAACAATAATCTGTCTGCATGTTTTGCGTTCTGCGTTTTTCTCTCCCACACTCTGTGAATGCATCACTGACCCCCTCCCAAGCTGAAACTGTGCAGCTGATGGTTCATTTTCGTTCTGACTTCCTGTATCAAAGTGGAACAAACACAGGTGGACCAACGTTAGAACGTGTGGCGATACAGGTCATGTCTCTGATGTCGCTCCAAAACATGGTCATATTAGATTTGCTCATGTCGCCCACCCCCACTGACAGGGTGAGGCTGCTGTGGCCAGTCGGCAGGTGTAGCCGCCACTGGTGGAGTAGCCTCTAAACAGGTGAAGAGGTTTGGCTCTTCTGCCAGTGTGTCGTCACCCTCAGCAGCTCTGAGTCTTCTGATCGGGGACGTGTTGGACACCTTAGCACACCTGCCTGCTGCTCAGGTTGGCTGAGCCGTGCTGTAAAGAGAAGAGGGCAGAGGAGCACCACGCTACGCACGTGTCACAGGGCTGAATTAGCATCCGGTGGAATGTAAGGGTTAGGGTTAGCCATCCGGTGAACACACAGGAGGTAGACGGGCTTGCGTCTGACAGTCATACACGTGAGGTCTGGGAAGCAGTGACTGTCTACTGCTGTTATCACGCACACACATTCAGCTGGCACGGTAACACGTCCACGGTAACACGTCCACGTTACCTGAGGCCAACGCGAGAACAGCAACAAGCGCCGAGCAAGAGCTACCAAATGAAACAGCTGAGCTGGATTTGTTACATTTTAATAAGAGAACATCTTTGGTAAGAACATGGTTGTGTGTCTGGACTCTAACTGCAGGGGGCCGTCAGCACGTGACATCACTCGTGACATCACTCGTGACATCACTCATGACATCACTCATGACATCACTCGTGATTACAGACTTAGCTTTACACTTTTATCCCCTCGTTTTGAACATCAGTACAGACTGCACTACAGTTAGGAGAGTACTGCAGTTAGTACTTCATACCGTAGTACAGTGAGTATTACAGTACTATAGGGAGTACTACAGTCGGGTATAAACAGATACCTCTGCCAGTATACCAGAGTCACACACCTGTGCAGGCCCCTCCCCCTGCACGCGCAGACCCAGATCAGTTTAATCAGTATGTTTATTTTATAAATAAAGTTTTACTGCAGTATTTAAGTAGTATTTGAATTCTGGGAGCCGTTAGCAGTTAGCATTTAGCTGCTGACAGGTGAGCTTTACCTGAACAAGCTGCACGCGCCCCGGACTGAACAGAATCCTTAGTTCTGCGCCTGCGCAGCTCATCTCTGATTGAATATGTGCACTGGATCAGTTATTGATCAGGTACCTATCACTCGGAGCCTCGCGGATTTTCTGATGCGCACTTTCTGTCTCGGTCACTTCCGGTCTGATCAGCTGTTTGCCGTAAAGCAGCTGTCGCGCTGCCACTAGCGGTTAGCATACAGGCTAACAGGCTTTTCTTTAGCTCCGGTGACCCAAGTCAGAGTCCTGATCCTCGCCAACGGGTCGGAACCGTCCCGGGAGCGGCTCTAACGGCGTCAGCATCACAGCTGAGCGGGAAAGACTCAAAGGCAGAGCTCACCTGCGAGCACGCGGACCCAGAACCGGGCATCGGACCGGACCAAACAGACCGGACCAGCACGGACCGGACCACGGACCAACGAAAACCACACAAGGATCAGGAAACTCCCCGGAGTCACAGCCCGGTGCTGCTCCGCTGCTTCTTCTTCTTTGTGAGCGGCTCACACAAACGTCGATTTGTGGCTCTACCGCCGCCACGCGGCGCGGAGTGTGACCGGAGTCAGACTCGGGCTCAGGCTCTGAGCTCTTAAATGGTTAATTAAACCAGTTTATTTCTAAGTGAACAGATTCAGGTTTGACTGCTTGCATGGCCGGTGGGGGCAGACCGATCCCTGCAGCCACGTCGTTCCCACTGACAGAACGACAAGTAAAAATCTCATTAATCTGTAGGATGTAGGTCCTTTTAACCTGATTAGCATATTTCAGTAAAATGCTGCTTTCATCAGCCTGTTGTAAACTGTAGGATCACAGTGGAGTCTGCACACTGTAACACACCATCAAAGGATTCATGAACTGCGGACAGCGTCTTCACATGCACAGGTTCACTCTGCTGTGTGGGTGTTGTGTGACCCCCCAGGTCAGAGCCGTGCACAGAGCTGCAGCCTCGTCTGTCACTCACCTCCTGAAATAGAAACCTGCAGCCCGACACCGCCCCGCTCTCTCTGTTTATCTCTGGCTCTCCCTGCAGCCTGTCAGCAACACTCCCACAGGTGCTGTGGGTCGCCCACACTGAGCTGGTGTTCACATCAAACTCACCCGCTGCTCCAAAACTTTCTCTCAGCCACATTTCTGAGTCTGAAAACTTTAAAAATTTCATTTAATTGGATTTAAACTCAGAGCCTGAACACTCCTCCTGGACCAGGAACACACCCTTCGGCTTTAACCCGAGCCAGGACCAGGACCAGGACCAGAACCAGGACCAGGACCAGAACCAGGACCAGGACCAGGCTCTCCCGGAGAAGTCCGAACTAAGATCGACCTTGAATGTCTGACAGCAGGACATGATCCTGATTCTGGTCCCAGTCCCGTCGGTAGTTTAACGCTGAGCTGATTCCAGGTAAGGGCATGCTAACACTCACCTTGGGTTATTATTCATGACTGAACCTGATTTATTCTAAATATTTGGCACTTGTTCCAGCTGTGAGTGTCAAACAGTTTTTAGCTGTAAAATTAAATCATTGATGTTTCAGCTTCATCATTCAGGTAAACGCGCGCATCATCAGTGCAGAGCTTCACTCTGCTTCTCTCTGTTTAAATCAGATCAATGATGAGCTTCGCTCTGTGCCCGAGGTTACATTTTACCTGCAGTTATTACTCAGATCTGCCAGTTTCAGTGAGGTTCTTGACCCCTGCTTTACGTTAATCGAATCAGTGTGACAGCGAGCTGATGACTGCGTACCTGTCCACGCCTTCCTCAGACGGCAGGTATCACGAGCTTGGCCTCTGTACGTCTGCCTGATTCCCCTGTGAACCCCAGCTCTGGAGGAACTGTCACAGGGCAGGACGGCTTTAATAATAATGACCCGAGCAGCCGGGTCCGCTTCATCTTTAAGATCGAGGGTTTTCCCTGGATGGTGATCATGGATCAGCTGAGTGGGATTAAATCACGGAGCGCTGTGGACTCAGTGGGAAATCATCATTTCATTCAAACTGCTTCATTAATGTCTCCATGTTTGTTTGTGCGTCCTCCAGAGACACAATCATGAGTGGCCACGAGGACACAGCAAGAGGAGAAAGTGGGCGGGGCATCTTCCTCAGCGCTCACCGCTGCCCTGAAGTCGACGTGCTGCCTCGTCAACCTGCTGAGGCACAAATCCTTCCACGCTGTTCTCTAGTTCCTGCAGAGAAGAGCTCTGAGTTCACCTGCACAGGTGAGAGCGAGCCGGATTACCTGGACTTCTGCTCCACCCATCGCTCCGAGGCAGATGAGGAAGACGAGGGGAGTGTCAGCGACTGGTCGGAGGAAGATCTCTCACTCCACTTCTCTCCCTCTGTCCTCATCCAATCAGACGATGAAACGTCTGATCCGGAGAGTGGCTTTGAGTGTGTCGACATCACCATGGAGACACAGGTGAGCGCTCGTCATCATCAGCAGGTTAGGTGAACGTACGTGTGGGGCCTAGTTTCATCTTCACCAGCAGCATTTGTTTCCTGTCGTCCAGGTGAAAGGTCAGGATGCGGAGGGGCTAAAGATGGTGCCTAAACGGCAGATTCACCTGAAGAAGAAGAAGGACGGCGAGGACGGCGCTGAACAGGTAAACACTGATAAACTACAGGTATGTCTCCTGCCAGTTTAACTGTTTGCTCACCTGTTGGTCTACCTGTCCAGGTGATACTGAAGGATGCTCCTGCTGAGGGCAGAGGAATGAACAATCATACGTCAGCTAATGAGCTGCTGTGTCCCACGACTCGATCACGGCCTGAACTGTTACTACGGCAACACAGTATGCCCACCTCCTTTCACGCCACCTCAAATACTAGCAGTGATGCTGAGAGCTACAGGGTCTACAAGGGCCTGATTGCAGGGGCTGGCCAAGGTAACAGCACGTCTACCTGTCAGCGAGCTCCCTGCTTCTGTCAGTAAGGCCCGCCCTCCACCCTGGGCAGCACTGGAAACGTTATTGATCACAGTCACTGGTTCAGGTTATCAGACAAGAGCAGAGAGGATCACAGGATCCTTTCCATGATGAAACTGGTCCAGCCAAGTGTCAGGAACTAGTTTGTATCCACCAATCAGATCCCTGAACAGAGGGAGGCATGTATTTAATCAGGAAGTGACAGGAAGTAGACACTCCCACTCAGCTGATTTGTGTCATTAGCTAACGGCATGCTGGCTTTGGCTGATACCCGACCGTGTCTGACCTGATCAGCTCTGAAATCTCTGGTTAGTACCCCTCACTCTCCCAGCCTTTGTTGCTCCATCTGGGGGGTTGTAGTTCGCACATGAAATACGAGGGGGGGCAGGGGGGGCGCTTTCTTTGCTGAGCTGTGCACTGATTACACACATCTGACTAGACTCAAGCTGATACCACACTGGTGTTATTGCTGTCCGTGGGTTGCCATAGCAGAGAGGCCTGAGGGTCAGATAACAGTCGTACACACTGCTGCATGGTTCCCTGCAAACTGCAGAAAATCCCAGAAACTAGAACTCAGCTCGAACCCGTTGGTCCTCCAACCTAACCCTGACCTCAGAGAAAAACCTCTAAGAAATAATTTAATATTCTGATTTTCAGTGGATAAAACGTCTTCAGTCACCAGGTACACAGCATGATACTGGATCACAGCCCGTCAGACTTCACACTACAACTAAATGTGTTTCCAGAGTGTCTGACTGTAACGAGAGCTTTCCTTTTGCATCAGTCCTTTATTTATGCAGGTAAAAGTCTCATCGAGACTACAACCTCGTTTTCAGGTGCAGACATGGAGTCATGGCCTTGAGTTAAATGATGTTGGATATGATTTTTGCATGATTGAGATCCCTGATTCACAACAGACGTGCGTCACTGAGGCAGCTCAGAGTTTGTGTTCTGCCTGTGCTGCATCATTGTTGGGTCTTCATGAGTTTACACGCCCGCTCCCTGACGTTCTGCATTTCTATTGGTTGCATGAAGAAAACAGTTAATGTGCGCCGCAAGCCATGAAAACCAAAGCTTCATATGCTGCCTCAACATGTCTGTGGAAGAGGTGCAACTCTGAGTATTATTATTAATACACGTCTTTGTTTTTGTTCTACTGATGATGAAAGACGAAGAATCTGAGTTTGATGACATTTCTGATGGTTTCAGGGCTCCTGATTGGAGGAAACTCTCAGCGTCTCCAGAAGTCGTTCTCTCTGGATGAAACCAAAACAAAGATGGCATCCTGCCTCATTAAGAACGTGCTGTCGAAAAAGATGCAGGTGGAACAGAAAAACCTGAAGAAGAACGCGGAGGTGTCACCTGTCCTGCCTCTGGAGCATCAGGCAGGAGGAGGCGGGGTCAGAGCTCCGGTTCACGTGGTGAGAGACGTGAGGAGTTTAGTTAAACACTCGTACGGCCGCTCGTTCACCACATCAGCCGCGTCTCGTGACAACAAGTCAACAAGCTGCAAAGCAGTTGGCCAAGAGGATAGCCCTACGCCCGCTTACCAGCAGGCTGTGGGGGTCAAAGGTCACTTCTCCAAGGTTGCTGTGTCTTTCAGCCAATCACAAGACAAGAAGCAAAGTAAATCATCCAGACAGCCGATGACACAGCAGAGACGAGGAAGCGAGCCAATTATCAGCCAAGGTTTAGACCACTTAGACCCTCCCACTTTGAAGCCCAACCCATCAGCGAGAGCTGTGACTCCGCCTTCCCACCAGGGCACCTGGCCGCTGCTCGGTGCCCAGGAACAGAGCTCCATCCTGGGTGTGTCCTCCTCCCAGCACCTCCTGCAGATCCCCTTCCCCAGCAGCCTGCACCCTCACCTGGGGACGGCTGGCTATGTCCACACCCCTTTGAGCTACATCCAGCAGTCCACACCTGGTGCAAGCATCCACCTGCCCTGTAGGTC